TCTCTCTGCCTATAAATAGAACCAGAGGAGTGGTTCACTTCAAAGATTGGAACCTTAGGCCAAAGTTAAAATCTGAATTTTATCTTCCAGCTTGATGATGCAATTGATCTGGTTATTCCACGAGGCAGCAACAAACTTGTCTCTAGCATTAAAAGTTCCACCAAAATTCCTGTTCTGGGTCATGCTGGTAAGACCATTATGCTTATGATTAAATGTTACATTCAAGTAGTGCTTGATATACTATGTTAGATCCTTTTCTTCAGGAATTTGGTTGTCTGCCACAGTAAGGCTGCATTTTTGTTAATTCAGATGGAATTTGCCACATCTATGTTGATAAGTCTGCTAAGATGGAGATGGCTGGGCGGATTGTATTGGATGCAAAAATAGATTACCCAGCTGGTTGCAATGCCATGGTAATCCATACTACTGGATGACAGCGCAAGCTTAGTAATACCGACAATTTTTCTTTGCTCAGTGGTCGCAGTCATGGATAGCTAATTCCGTTATTCAAAATTCAAATCTTAGGAAACACTTCTTGTTCACAAGGACTTAGCAGAGAAAGGTTGGCTAAATGATATTATTGTTGACCTGCGGACTGAAGGTATGTATTTTGGGCAAAAAGTACCTTAAATTGTACATTCTGTTAACAGCTCCTTTCTTTGTATGCTTTAATTTGTAATTACATCTATTGGTTATGTTTAGATTTATTTTTGCCAGAATAGATTTATTTTAGTTGGATAAAGATTTTTCCTTGTCCATGTGATTTCACCCAGAATTTACGAGTTATATTACAAACTGAGTTTTTGTAACAAACTAAATAGTTTTAATAAGGAAACTGAGCAACTCTAGTAGCAGTAATGTATCTTGTAACATCATGCTTCTGGTCATTTTCCAGCACAAGAGTAGCATTCTTGCTGTAATATATGTTTAATCATTAATACTCTAAGCAAATTTGAGCAATTATTCTGATTTATTTCTGTTAAATCATTATAAAATTGAATTCTTAATTTTTGGATTAAAAAGGTTGGGATTTTTGTTATCAGAGATTTCAATTTGGTGTAGTTTTCTTTGTTTTTGGAGCTTGCTGGGGTCGTGGGCAATCAACATGACACTAGTTTTGTACTTCAAGCCTGTAATCTACTAGAGGAAGAATTTCTGAACTAGACTTGTAGCATATATGACTGAACTACAAGATTTTTCCCCCCAGAGTAACTATTGTCTTCTTCCGTTCAACAAAGTCATGGTATAAAATAAAAATTGATGAAGCTTGGATATTATGTTCAAGTTCCATATCCTAGGTTCATCCGAGACCTGCATAAAGTTGTACTAGGGTGCTAAGAATTCTAGATCAAAGTCATCTTGGGAACAACTAATACTGTGTGGAAGTCCTAACGAAAAGTAACTCTCTTTTGAACGATGGTATCAGTTTCTATTCGGGGGAAAAAAAAGTTCCAAGGAAAAGCACATTTTGGTGACTACTCTATTTAACAATCTGCAGTGTGTTTCTTAGCTATTTAAGTCACAAATGTCTCTTAAATGAGCTTTCATGTTGGACTAGAGCTTGTGAAGGTAAGGATATTGGTGATGTTAATTTTTTTTTTTTTTTACAGTCTTCTATACTTCTAATGATTTTTACCTGAACTGGCCAGACCATGTCTTAAAATAGTAGCAATATAGGCACTTGAAAAAATTGATTGGAACTTGAGGTTATATTGAATAGATAAAATTGACTATAGTTTTCATCCTTATAGCTGTTTGACAACATATTGCTTGTGGAGAAATTGACATAACTGTTGTCTGGGAGTCAAACGAATGTTGTATTAAGGAAATCTAAATGGTTTGCGTTGCAGAAAGGTTAAGTGATGTAAAATTTATGCAGGTGTTACTTTGTATGGAGGACCCAAGGCAAGCTCATTGTTGAATATCCCGAAGGCACATTCATTTCATCATGAATACAGTTCATTGGCTTGCACTGTTGAAATTGTGGATGATGTGTATTCAGCTATTGATCACATAAATCTTTATGGAAGGCATGTTACTGTTGTGTTATTTACAAGAAACATGTTGAAACCTTTTCCTTTCATTTTTCTCCCCTCTATTCTATTTCAGTTCGAATAACATCTGTGATGGTGCAATTGATTTATAAGCAAATATGCAACATTTCCCTCTTTTCTGTGGCAGTGCACATACTGATTGTATAATTGCTGAAGATTGCAAAGTTGCTGATGTGTTTCTACGCCAAGTGGACAGGTATTTCTATGTTTTTTCCTGTGTTCGTTTTCTTAAGAACGAAGTGTAGGGGAAGAAATTGTTCACATAATTAAATGGTTTGCAGCATTTCATTATTGTTGTAGTACGTGGTCTTGGGGCAGTACATTAGTAAATAAACCTTTCTTTTGCCCTATTATGTGCAATGGAAGACATCAGTACATTGTGCAAAGTTAGTAACATATGCCATCGTTTGCTATATACTGGCAGTGCTGCTGTTTTTCACAATGCTAGCACAAGGTTTTGTGATGGGGCACGATTTGGGCTGGGTGCTGAGGTATGATATTCACGTTTTGAGGGTTAATATATTATGTTAAAAGTTGTAAATTAGCTTAATACTCTTACTTGTTTAATAGGTTGGAATAAGTACAAGCAGGATTCATGCTCGGGGTCCCGTCGGAGTTGAAGGATTGTTAACAACCAGATGGTATGTACTATATGCAGCAGATACTCTTTCTTTCTTTACAAGCAATCGGCAAAACTGATGGGTCTCTTATTTAGTCGGTAGACCTCAATAGTAAGAATCACAATTATAACTGATACTGCTGTTCATTAATCATTAATGGTGTTCATATGCTTTTTCCCCAAGTCAAATGGTTTGCATGTATTACATATGAATGAAGTTCGTAGAATACCATTGTCCACTTGTCTGTCATTATTAGGGTTCATAGATAACATATGAATGAGCTGTATCAAGGATCAATTTAGCCTGCCACTGCATGAGTAATGATAATAGTCAAACATATACAGAATGATCTATGAGAAATATATTTCATGAGATTATTCAAGTAACATTTCTAATCCGTGCATCACTTCCCATCCTGGATTCATGCGTACTGAGGCGTAATATTATGGTAGATTCATTTTATAATTCCACGAAGACACATGTGGTATCACTTGTGTATTCCACCTTGTTCTGCCATCTTTATGTGCAGGATACTTAGAGGAAGCGGGCAAGTGGTTGATGGTGATAAAGGAGTTGTTTACACCCACAAAGACCTTTCCACTTAATCCTGCGTTTTGCTGGTAAAGTACCCTCTTCATCAAGAAGGCTACGCAGGGGGCCTGGTCTAAGCTTTATTTTCTGTCTCTGGAGAGCTGGGCTGAAAATCATACAATCCAACTAAGAGGAAAATTTGTGTTATATTGTTATTCTGTCTCTTCAGTTTTTCTCATCATGTTGCATTTGACTATTGCTTCCTAACTTCTTCAACACAGCCATCGTATATGTATGATATATCTAGGAAATAATTATAATCTCTGCTTTGCTTGCTAATAATACATGCAGAACCTTTTAAAAAAAAAAAAAGAAGGCTAAACCGAAGAAAGTAACTAAACTAAGGGGGAATTAATCCCAAAGCATCTTTATCACACAAAGCCCGCAAGTATTGCGGACACCCATCAAATAAAGAGGACCTTGATAATCCTTGTTTTGCTAAAGCATCTGCAAGGGAGTTGTTATCTCTGGCAACATGTCTCAATTGTAGTTCCCAGCTGTAATTCATTAATCTTTGTATCTGAAGCAAAACCAAAATGCCATTCCTCGGCTGCAACCTATCTCTTAACATGTCCACATGCGCCTTAGATTCAGACTCTAGAATAACCTTTTAAGAACCCATATCCCAGGCTAGAGTAGATCTTTAAAGATGACCCATTCCTCTGCTTCGAAGGCACTGCACCGTACGGAAGTGTGAGAAAACCCTGCTATGCAGCAACCATTTTTAGCTCTTGAAAAGGGAGAATATAGCTTCACTACTTTTTTTTTTTTTTTGGTGGCATCTGCCCCAAAAATGTTCGTAAGAAATGAACCAGAGGGCCCTAATTATTAGCAATGTGTTTGGTTGGTTTGTGATAATGGTTTTTCAAACTCCTATTACCAATGTGTGCTTTCTTGGGATCAAGTTTCTACATCCTAAAAGCACTTATTTACATAATTTAAGATAAAATTCATCTCACATAAGCTGTTTCTGAAGAATTATACCATCATTACAAACAAACCTTCTGTTTGGTTGGCTTGTGATAATCAATTGTAATCTAGATTGCGGGAACTATGGTAATCAAGATTCATGGGGAAAGCCCTGTAAATCCTGATAATCATGTCTTGTGGACAATAATACCCTCTGGACCATCGGCCCTCCTCCTTCCACCCTTCCTACTGCTCAGCTCCCCCGCCGCCATCCGCCTCATTTTCAACCTTTCTTTGAACTGCCACCACCGACGACCTCCTTCCCAAACGCCACTAGATTCTTCTCCCACTCTCCTTCTGTTTGCTCTACCTGCCATGGTTTGCCTTCACCTCCTTCTTCTCCCTCCCTCACCACTCACCAAATCTAACAGCTCGTCACTGCACAAGATCTATTCTTTTTCTTTTTCCTTTTTTTCCCCCGAAATCTGGTTTTTCATATCTACTTTTCCCTAGAACGTCAACATAAGGCCATTGGTTTCTAAATCTGATGTGGGCGAGGAAAGAGGGACGATTGGGGAAAGAAGAAGAATGGGAAAGGTTTTTTTTTTTTTTGGGCCTACAAGGCTAACAAATTCACTTTCATAATTTTAAAATATTTCTGATAAGTATTATTACATTATTCTTCGTAAGATATCAATACATGCTAAGCAATTAAAATTGCATTGCTTGCATTGCCATGCTCCCAAGAAATCCACCAAACGGGCCCTCAGAGTTTCAGTTATCAGTGTAAATATTTTTCCTTCAAACATCTAATTGAGAACTGTCGGAAATCAAAATAGTAATTTATTCCCAAAAAATATTATGTACCAACAAATTTAAGGGGGGCAACAAGCATGGTCAATACTTGAATTACTAAAGCACCCCTCCAGGGGAGTGAGAACTAGAAAACAAAAATATTATAAAAATGACATAATTAGAATAAACAACAATAATAGGAAACCTAATATCTTCCACTCCAAATGTAGTTCATTAAAAATGCAGCATTGTGGTTCACACGTCCATCGAATAACGGCTGAGGTACCAAAGAAGATTTTAAAGTTTAAGCTTCAATAAATTTTTTGAGCTTTTTCATCCACACCAAGTATTCTCTGCTGTCCTTGTTGATCATGTACTCGTGCAAGAACTGAGTTGTTCTCGGTTTGATTCCTCTAATTTCTAAATACTTATGGAAGGCCTTTTGCAGGTTCTCATCCATATCTCTGAAAGAAAAAAGTAAATAAATAAGTGAAAGATGTTTGTAAGAATTGGAAGGAAAAGAGCATGACATTGAATAGGAAATTCAAGGACTGAGATATGAAGAACAAGGCCTTACTGGAAGTCTGGACCCTCATAAGGAATTTTATCCTCAGCGTTTTCTGGATTCTTCACAGTCAAGCTATCAATAGTGATCTCGTCAGGGTAAGCAAAACAACCAAACTCTAGAAGGGGTCCATCCTTCTTAGAGACACTGACTACAAGAGGAACGTTCGAGTGATTGGCCCTTTCACTGTCATTATCATCATCATCACGATCATCCTCATTTTCCCCAGTAACTAGATCAGGCATGTGAACCTCAACCTTTATATCTTCACCTTGGTATGTTCTTCTGAGTGTTATAATCTGCTGTCCCGGACAATCAATAATTTCAAAGGGAAAATCATTTGGTTTGTCTTCAACCTGTCTCCCAAGGGGGAAAAAAGAGGGTTGTAACAACGCAATCCATCTCAAATACAATATTGCATTACGGATAAATATCGATTCTCAATAAAGTATATCAAAGATTTTTGCAGCAACAGAATTGACAATTCCACAAGAACAAAAATTAACACCCATTGAGCTGGAATGAACCTAAGGCGTATTGGATGAAGCAGCATTTTTTAATTTACCTCCCACTGGCAAACCAAATAATCTATGGACTAAGAGAGGAAAATCATAGAGAAGTCAACCCTTTTTGCAGAAGAAAACAAAAAGGAAAATGATCAGTCTGATTTCTTGCAAAGGAAACATAAAATGGAACCCAGATCAATCGTCGAACAAATAGGTTAATTGCAGCCACCTTTCACCAATTTGTAAACTTTGATTCTGCATCGCATATGGGGAGCACTAAAAGAAAAGGCCTGAGGAAGCCTAAATTTACCAAATTCTTATTCAATCAGTCACCCGCCAAGAGCTGGGGGGGGGGGAGCAAATAAAAATCGCCACAAAGAAAGAAATCCTCAAGCGAAATCTGTTCATCTAAGCAGCCCATTTGCAACCATATCATTCTAATCGTGTTGGGTATTAAAATCCTTCATTCCTCGATCATCTTAACAGTCGACAGTAAGCCAATCAGCAAGACAATGCTAAGACAAAAAACAAAAAAAAGCATACCCTGTCGTGGTCGTCAGTATCCTCGGCGTAACGGATTTCAGATTCTATGGCACGAAGCAAAGTCTCATCAGAAGGGAACTTCTTCAATGGCGCAGAAGAGAAATGAGAGCAAGGGAGGTACAAAGGATTGCGAGCGCGAGGGGTATGATTGATGATGGCAGTGGAGGGCAGAGCATGGTAATTACGGTGGGGCTTAAGCAGATGAGCCGCAAAATGCCTAAGAGAAGAAGCTGACTTGCGAAGAACAGAAAAGAACGCCATTTCCAGTCCAGCGACTACACACCCTGAGAGACACTGAGGGTTTTACTAGGGTTTAGAGCTTCTCAAGATTTTGCAAGGTTACTGTACGGGTGATTCCGTATTTTGAACCGCAGCACAATGCTCATTATTCCCGGGAAAAAAAAAAAAAGGGTTAAAGTATCTATTTTGGCCTTTTAATTTTATATAAAGTTTTAATTTGATCTTTTAATTTTAAAAAGAATATATTTAGTCCTTTAACTTTAAAATCATTAAGCTTTAATGATGATTTTTTGTAGGGATAATTAATCTAAAAGTCCTTATAGTTTCAACTAATTTTGAATCAGGTCCCTATAATTTTTTTTCTTTTTATCAGGTCCTTATACTTTTACCTGTTTTTAATTAAGTCCTTGCATTTATTTTTCTTTTTATCAAGTCCTTATAAGTTCACCTTATTTTTAATTAAGTCCTTAAATTTTTTATTCTTTATTTTATAAATTCTAATAGTACTATTCTATAAACATAAAATAGTATTTATTATTTAATATTAGTTTATAAACAATAATACTCTAAAAATAATAAATTATTATAATAATTTTTTTGCAAAAAAAATTAATTGTTCTAAAAAAATTTCTAAATTAATTAATTATATTACTTATCTTTTATTATATAATTGTTAATTTAATTTAATTATTAATATTTTATTTCAGTATTAATTTATTTAATTAAGTTTATATTTAATTAATAAATAAAAATTAAAACTAGATGGACCTGATTAAAAATTTAGTGAAATTATAAGGACTTAATAAAAAGAAAAATAAATGCAAGGACTTAATTAAAAACAAATGAAAGTATAAGGACCTGATAAAAAGAAAAAAACTATAAGGATCTAATTCAAAATTGGTTGAAATTACAAGGACTTACAGATTAATTAACCCTTTTTTGTAACAATCATGGATATTTTGAAAATTAAACTTAATATGTTAGTGTTTAAGAATATTTTATCAACATTTAAGATCTTAATGTCATCATTTTTTAAAAAAAAAATTAGGGTTAAAAGATTAAAAATATACCTTTTAAAGTTAAGGGATCAAATTGAAACCTTATACAAAGTTAAAGGACCAAATATATACTTTAGCAAAAAAAAAGTTATTATATTATTATTATAGTTTTCCCCACAATTTATTCGATTTTGAGAAAGTTATTTTTATTCCTTTAATATGAATATATATATATATATATATATATATTTATTATAACTGGGTAAAGCCTCCCATTGAAAATTTTATTGATAAAAATGATCTAAATAATATTCTGTATGTATAAAATTTACAGAGTACTAATATATTCTACACATTACATCACATGGAAAAAAAGATATACTTGCAATAATTTCTTTGATTTGGTTATTTTTTGAAAAATATATCCCCTGAGATGATTTTGTAATGCAATAATAATTTATAAAAGCTTCGTTGGCAGGAAAAAAAAATTATAAAAGCATTTTTTAACAAGTTTAAGGATGAGAGCTGTAGAAAAGATATAATATACTCCAAATCATCACTCAGTATGAAATATAAAATTCATCGGGGTCACATTATTCTTGAATAATAAATATTTCAATTTTTTATCTAATTTTTTGCAATGTACGTATTTTTTTCAGTCTTTCTTCACAGGCTTGTTAGCTGGATGAAACTATTTTTTATTCATTCAATATTTTTAAACATATTTCAATAGGCTTTACATGTAGAGAAACTTTTAAAAACTTTCAAGTTATTATCTATTTAAGGAAAAAATATAGCTTTAAAATAAAAATGGGATAAGGTGCAAATTTGTCTCAAAAATTTGTGCTTAGGAGTGATGGGTATTCAAAAATATATTTTGGCTCAATGTTGCTCTAAAAGTTTTCAAATTGTAGTGATGTTGTCCTGGCCATTATCTAGGTTAAGTTTAATGGTTAGTTGACTAACTATGCTGAGCTGGCAAGTTCACATGTCGTCCACCTCATTTTCTTTTCTGAGTTAAGATGCAAATTCACCCTGAAAGTTTTTACTCTGGAGTGTTGGATACCAAGAAGTTTCAAATTATAACAATATTGCCCCAGATGTTATCCATGTTAAATTTGACCATTTACTAACCAAATATGCTGAGTCGGTAGGTCCATGTATGATCTACTTTATTTTTTTTCAGGTTATCCACTTCATTCCTAGTTCATAACCCTAATTTTATTTCTCCCATACATAAACAACTCTTTCCACACGTCCATTATTTCTTCATTCCTTCTTAGTTTAGTGCTTTTTATAAGAACAAAAGTAGAGTATAAAAATATAGTAAATAATATATATAGAAAAGAAGCTCACAAGAATTCTTAAAAGATGTAAACGATAAAGTTGATTTTGGGAATAGCCACGGGTTTAGAAAGCATAGAAGCAATTATTTTTTTAGAGTTAGTGCTAAATCCTCATCTTCAAAAAAAAATAAAGTGCACCACATGTGGACCTACCAGCTCAACATATTTTGTTAATTAATAATCAAATTTAACATGGATAACAATTGAGGTAACATTGCTACAATTTGAAAATTTTCGGATACCAAGCACTCCTGAATTAAAACTGCCAGGGTAAATGTGCACTTAACCCAGAAAAGAAAATAACGTAAACGACACTTGGGCATGCCAACTCAGCATAGTTGGTCAACTAACAGTCAAACTTAATTTAGATAACGACCAGGCCAAGGTAACATTAAGTCAAAAAATACTTTTAGATACCCAACACTCCAAAGCACCAACTTTCAAGGTGAATTTGCACCTTAATCCAATAAAAGTATAAGAAATGATTACTCTGTTACGTTGTTATTTGTATTTTTTTTAGAAGAGGGGATTATGTATGTAGCTTATATTATCAAACAATTCTCATTAAACCAACATCTTCAAACCATCGCACAAATTTAGATGCACTTAAATGCCACTAGATGCTTTTGCTTTAAAATATTGTACTAAGCACATGCTAATCAACGAATGTGACGTTGGAAATAATTGAGCATGACCAATCTTAGAAGTTACAACCACATTTTGGACCACCACCACGTGATGAACATGACACTGATGCGTATGCCAGATTTCCTCCCAAGTTTGACAACTATGACTCATCAATAATCTAAACCAAGCAAAAACAAGAGGAAAAACTTCTTTTTATTTGCCCCAAAAACACAGGATTCAAATTGGGAATAGTCCCAAAAAAAAAACATTGGATGTAATTTATATTTTGATCTCACGTCGTCGTTATAATGGCACTGCTATAAAATCTGTACGATGACATGACACTTACCAGTTACCACCTTGAACTGCTTTAAGAAGAATCTGAACCCACCAATAAGTACATCGTAATCAAACAACAACAACAAAATCTTATCCCACTAGATAGAATCAGCTACATAGATCGCACGATGCCATTGAGCCATATCTATTGTTAATTGAAAGATCTCGTTCAATGACTTCATTAAATGTTGTCTTCGGCCTTCCTCTACTTCTTTTTAGAGGACTCCGAACTGTTTGATCAACTATTCTCATCGGCACGTTCCAGGACCTTCTTTGCACGTGATCAAACCATCTCAATCAGTTTTCTATCATTTTCTCATCAATAGCAGCCACTCCAACTTTTTCTCGTATATGTTCATTACGGATTGTGTCTTTTCTTATATGAGTACATATCTATCTTAACATTCTCATCTTGGCAACTGACACTTTATATTCCTGTTGTCCTTTTAAAGTCCAACACTCACTGTCATATAGCATTACTGGTCTTATAGCAGTATGATAAAACTTTTCTTTGACCTTATTAGGTACTTATTGCAGTGCGGTAAGAGTAAATGAATTAAACCTACACTACAAATGTCGAGGAGGTAAAATTGACTATTCAAGGGACATAATTATAAAGGAACTTATTAAAGACTACATAACTTTTGGACAAATGAGCAAATTTAGGACCTTTACAAAGACACATTCCAACGTAGCAATGGCATGACTCTTTCTAGACGAAACTGACTTGTGCACTGCAAGGGAAGGAGAAAGAAAAACGATATAAACCAACCAACACATTTCAGACTACCTCCTAACCACATGCTACTTATTTAAACATAATTTCACATGACTATCTCTGGTTTCCAAATGCTGGACTTGATCTCCTTGTGGGGCAGAACCACACCACCATTGGTGTATATTTCATCACACACATGGACATCTTCTCCGAGAATAGTCATGTTCTCCACGCGAGCCCATTGCCCTACAGTGGAATGCCACCCAATGATACTGCTGGAAATGCAAGCATGTTTCTTAATTCGGGCTCCTCGCATTATAGTGCAGCGGGAGAGACGAACACCGGACTCAACTGTGCAGCCAGGACCAATAGCAACATCAGGTCCGATAAGACATCCTTCGCCAATTTTGGCAGTCTCGTCCACTATGACATTCCCAACAATGTGAGGACCAGTGACTAACTTCGAGGAAGACTTTTTCTTCAATGAATCCAGGTAGAGTCTCAGACCAGTAATATAGTCCCTTGGCTGTCCAATGTCCATCCAAAACCCAGGAAGGACCATTGCAAATAGCTTTTTCTCAGCAGCAATATTTGGAAACACCTCTTTCTCGATAGATGTGGGCCTTAGCTCAATGCGATCCAGAACTGACGGGTTCAGTAAGTAAATTCCAGCATTGATTTTGTTACCAACAAACAACTTAGGCTTTTCCACAAATTTCTCAACCTTCCCTGTGGCCTCCTCCATAACAACCACACCATACTTTGATGGTTCATCGACCTGCACAAGTAGATGGAAAATGATATTGAATGCTCTAAACCGTCATTAAAGTCTTACATAGTCGGCAAGCATTTCAGTGTTGTCACCTTTGTCACCATTATGGATGCCTCTCCTCCATGGGATTTATGGAATTCAACCATTTCCTTAAGTGGGTACTCACTGATAACATCACTGTTGAGAACAAAAAATGGCTCTCCAGAGCCATCTATCAGCTTATCTCTGGCAAGAGCCAGAGGACCTGCTGTACCCAGTGGTTCAGTTTCTT